ATAGATGCCGGTCATATACGCGTAGTCCGAAGACAGTGCAATGCGACACTCGCGGCATGGGTAGCAATCTTAAAAATCTGGGGACCGCGTTGCGGATCGCCTCATTTGATCATTGCCACCACCCGGCCAGGTAAGTATGAAGGGCGGTAGATGCGCTCAGGGTCTGCGCCACCATGCGCGCGAGCAACCGGTCCAAAAATTAGCCGAATCGGTGGCGTTGGCGGGAAGTTCTGTCGAAAAGAGTGGCCATCGCAGCCCCAACGTCGCTGACAAGCTTGACATTCAATAGCGAGCAGCCCACTGGCTGTCGCTGCATCCTCGCGCCGTCTCGATGTGCTGCCGTAGAACCACGCGAAAAGACGCGTTTTAGCTCCTGTTAACTCTGGACATCCATCTCGAGCACACCGGAACCGCCAGAGCCGCTCCAGGGGCTGCCCATGGCGCGATCGGCTGCCCATCGAGCATCGTCGAGAAGCGTTTCCGGACGCGAGCCGTCCCGGAGCGGGCTCGCAGCACCTCCGAAGCCAGAGCGTCCACGCCGCTCGCTCGAGTGGCTCGCGAGGTCCATGCTGCGAAAGCAGCAGCCCCATGCTCCAGCACTTGCTGCCGCGTCCGACCGATGCGGCGAAGCCGTCGCCGCGGCGCGGCGCGCGCGCAAGTGCTTCGACGACTCCTTCCAGTCCCAGTCCATCTGCCTCGCGCGGCTCGAAGCGGTGCAGCGGCGCTGGCGCTGCGGCAGCTCGGACTCCAGGCCTGGAGCGCGTCGGCCGCGCCGCGTCGGGCGGCGGAGCTCGCGCTCGAGCAGAACGCCGGCGACGTCGACGGGTCGCACTCGCACGCGTCGAGCGACCACGTGCTCGCGCGCCGCGGCGTCGCGCATCCCTTCGTCGACGTCCTCGTGGCCGCGCGGCTCCGCGCCGGGATGCTCTGGTTTGGGCACACTCCGTCCGAGCCGCTCGGACGAGACGAGCCTACTCGGTCCCCTTCGTGCGCGCTTATCCCCTTCGCCCCCCTGCCCCTGTCGGCGCTTCGATGCCCAAAGCTGCGGCGCTCGGATCGCTGCTGCAAGATGGGGTAAAGGCTAAAGATGCAGCTCTGCTCGGCTGGACCGCCGGCACGATGGGTCAGAGCATGGGGGCTTCGCAGCGCCGCGAGCCAGCGGTCGCGGGGCCGCCTGAGCCCGTGCGCCACAGCATCGAGGGGCGCGAGCGCCCGGCGTCGAAGGGCGCGCGCTCGAGCCCGGAGTTTTCCACGATTTGGGGGAAGGCCGACCTGGCCGACACTGTGGTCTCGTTTCTGCCGGCGGACTCCGTCGGGCGCCTGCCCCTGGTCTCGCGGGCGCAGCGCGACGCGCAGCCGCGCGTCCTCTTCGCGGCGGCGCGGGAGCGAGGTGTCGCTGGGGAGCTCGCCCTCGCGTGCGTCGCGACGCTGCGAGGCGCGGAACGCGAACAGTTTCACTTCCGCGAAACCTGGAGCGACGGTATGTCCGAGCGCTGGTTCGACCAAGGCACCCACGGCAGACACCTCTGCTACGATCTGGGCCCTCGCCTTCACAATGATCTGGGCCCTCGTGATTTGGTCACGGTCTCTCGTTTCCGGGTGCAGATGTTGGCTCGGGGAAGCAGCGGATGTTCGCATTTCCTCCTCTGCGGTCCCAATGGTGAAATGCCGCCAAGCAACTACTTGGTTCCTGAGAGTCTTGATCTTTCGGCTCTCAATGTTTTTGCTGGTGTTAAGTTGGTCAGACACTCCCAGGGTGAGATTAACGAGCGACTCAGCTGGTTGGGCGTGCCTGGTGTTGTTGAGGAACCTTTTACCATCCTGGTTGAGCACCCGAATGAGGACGATCTGCACCCGATGGACCTCGAACCCGTAAGGTTGCATACCGTGGATGCGATATTTTCCTATGGTTCGTCCGCGGTCCACGTCTCGGGA